GCACAATTAAGTGTTCCGGAATACTCATACTTCACAATGTTGTCCATAGCTTGTCATGATCCACACAATCGAAAGCCTTTGTGTAGTCTATAAAGCACAGGTAAACATCTTTCTGATACTCTGCTTGCATCCAAGATCCATCGGACATCAGCAATGATATCCCTCGTTCCACGGCCTCTTCTGAATCCAGCTTGAACCTCTAGAAGTTCTCTGTCAATGTATGCTTGCAGCCGTTTCTGTATTACCTTTAGTAAAACTTAACTCGCATGAGATATCAAAGAGATTGTCTGATGATTTCCACATTCCGTTGGATCACCTCTCTTTGGAATGGGCACAGATACAGCTCTCTTCCAATCAATCGGCCAGATAGTTGTCTTCCAAATTTCTTGGCAGAGATGAGTGAGTGCCTCCTGTGCCACCTCACTTTCTTGAAAGATTTCAATTTTTATTCCATCAATTCCTGGTGCCTTGTTCTTTGCCAGTTCCTTCAATGCACCTTGGACTTCCTCCTTCAGTATCATGGCTCTTGATCATATGCTACCTTTTGAAATGGTTGAATATTAACCATTTCCTTTTGGTACAGTGATACTGTGTATTCCTTCAATCTTCTCTTGATGCTTTCTGCATCATTCAATAATTTCCCCAGAGACTCTTTCAATAACAAAAGTTGAGGCTTGAATTTTTTCTTCAGTTCCCCCACCTTGAGTAATGCTGTACTTGTATTTTCCTTTTTGGTTTTCTGATTCCAGATCTTTGTACATTTTATTGTAATATTTGGTCTTATGTTCTCGAGCTGATCTTTGAAATTTTCTGTTCAGCTCTTGGACCTCCTCATTTCTTCCATTTGCTTTAGGATCTCTATGCTGGAGAACAAGTTTCAGTGTCTCGTCTGACATCATTTTTACCTTTTCCTTCTTTCTTGTCTTTTCAATGACTTTTTGATTTTTTCATGTATGATGTTCTTGATATGTCATTCCACAACTCTTCTGGTTTTCCGTCTTTAGTGTTTAATGTATCAAATCTGTTTTTCAGATGATCTCTAAATTCAGGTGGGATATAGTCAAGGTTATGTTATAGTTTGGCTCTCGTGGACTTGTTTTCATTTTCTTCAGCTTCAGTTTGAATTTGCATATGAGTAATTGATGGTCTGTTCCACAGTCTG